GCAACCACTGTTGGCGGCCAAGCATCGCCCGAGGGATGATCTAGTCATTCTCGCAAGAGCTGCTCTGCTCTCTTGTAGTGTGAATTGCGTTTATAGCCCCGTATCGAACAAGTGTTAAGAAATCTAGACATAGCGAACCCATTCTGCCCAAGCGTGATCACGTCTATTTCCCGTAGCTCGCTGGATCTTATGGTAAACAGCATTATGTAAGGCCGCATATTATTCAAGTTGAGCAGATTGAGATCAAAGAACATTATAGTCTTGACAGAGACAAAATACAACCACACGTTCTAAAAAATCCCAAAACAAAACAGAATCTAAAATGTTGAACTTGAACAGTGAGTACATAAGAATTTGTATTTGTTATGTCTTCCTTGAGCACCGAGGCTCAGGGTGGGCTCAGGGTTGGCTCAGGGTGAGCTCAGGATAGGCTCATGGTGGACTCAGGGTAGGCTCAGGGTAGGCTCAGGGTAGGCTCAGGGTTGGCTCAGGGTTGGCTCAGGGATGGCTCAGGGTAGGCTCAGGGTAGGCTCAGGGTTGGCTCAGGGTAGGCTCAGGGTAGGCTCAGGGTAGGCTCAGGGTTGGCTCAGGGTTGGCTCAATGGTGGCAAAATTGGGTGTCAACTCCGATGGGGGGAAATTCTGTGATTTCCCCGCACCGTATTGTCACACTTGGTTATTCATTACCGGAGAATATCTCTGTGTGTTTTGTATGGTAATCTTCACCATACCGGAATAACTGTGTTGTAACACACAGTAATCGTGCCCCACACAGCTTTCAATACCAGGAGGGTGTTGATGGGCCTGGCGCGATTACATAGACTGTGGATCATTACAATAGGTCATCAGGTCAATTATCTTATTATCAATTGGTCGTCCTCAATACTACAAGTTAGTAGTTTCCAGTATCCGGGCAAACAACGTTAAATTGTCCGTAAGGTACGGGGTGTATAACGCCATTTGGAAGACGCCCGGAGACCGATGCCCGTTTTACTTGTCACTTGCAATCGAGTTCTTAGCTGTGATACCATACTACAGCTTCATGATTCGGACTCCTAATTCGCGACTGCTTATAGGCTTCAAAAATAGAAGGCAACCCATACCAAAGGCCTAGAAATAAAGCACAGACAGGTGCACTGGTGGCCTCGTCGGTCCGTCAATAACATGGCCTATCTCTAGTTTGAGGCTCCAAGGAGACTGTGGCTCGGGAAAATAAAGGGAAGACGCGGCCTGCCAGGAGACGACTCTTATGCTTAGAACGGCTACACCCAGTAAAGAAATGAAGACCACAACACGAGAAAGTTGATACAGTACATGTGGTTATACCCCGTGACTACAAAGTGTCTTTTACCCAGGATTGACCAGATTCGTGGAAGCGAAGATCAAACATTCTTGTCACACGGCAAAGACCAGCTCTACCAAAACCCAAATAAGTCTATAAATCCCAGCTGAAATAACAAATATCGCACCCATAACCCTGAACTCCGGTAACATCTTCATGAAGTGAGAAAACGGAGACTATTTCGTATTTATGCCATACCAAGAGCTGTTCTAGAAGAGCGGGAGACGGTTCCATGCACCCTTTCTGCATGGTTCAGTAGCGCAGACTTCGACTCCAACTTCTCTCCGCAGATAGAGCACCCAAAACGCATGTCATTTGGAAACGGCTTGATATGCTTGTTGACGAAGTGTCGGCTCAGAGATCCAGAATTCTTGTACGTTCTCATGCGATCGCTTTGTGGCAGCATAGGGCTACCAAGGCAAATAAAGCAGATCGTTGGTCTCTCTGTTGGAGATTTGACGCAAACCGAAGCGATAGCCTGGGAAAACATATCGTCGCTCTTATGTGAAGGGATTGGATTCTGCCTTTTAGGCAAGGCGGCAGCCGGTGGCATATTGGCCGCATCGGCGGAGCGTTTTTGGGTGACACGAGGCCGCGAGGGTGCGCCCTCTTCTGCATCACATACCGCAATCACTGCATTGATTGCAGCAATTCGACGCTCATACTCTTTCTCAACCGTCGTACCCGGCATCGTCAGGACAGTGTCGATAAGGGTCATATGCTGTGGTGTCATATAGCCGGTGCTTTCTAAAGCGACCTTTACTTCTTCGTCGACCATCTTTCCGGATAGTTGCCGTTCGCTGTCGATCACCGGTTGCTCGTTCTTATACCGCTCCAAGTTCTCACGAATCAAGCGATTGCGTTGTCGTCCTTTTTCGTTTCGCAAATCACGTACAGCAAGATTATACTGCTCCTCTGCACGTTCAAATTTCTTGCGTAACTTGTCAACTTTTGTGTTTTGCAGTACCCATCGTCTGTGGAGTTTCCGCAGACGACGAGAAACTGACCCTTTCTGCGGAGGATCATCACCAAACTCGCGCTGGAGAGCGAACTGAGCATTTTCAAACGTTCGTTTTTTCACGTCCCGGGCCTGCTCTCGTGCTTGCTTGAACTCTTCCATGGCAATCACACGCGGGATTTGATTGACAGAGCTCGAATCTTCTAGCCTATATGGCCTGCGCGGATCGATAGACCGACTCATCGAGCAGGCAAAACGCATGAGCTGCTTCTGAGCGGGCATGCCTCGGACAATTGCCTGAGCATCGACGTGGATACCAACACTGTAGTGCCGAACAAATGTGTTAATGCTGGCATGCTGGAGCATCACATTTTGTAGTTCATTTGACACATCCGCTGTATAGTATGGACTTATTAGTCAAGAAGCGCAGAGTCTAAACAAGGGCCACTCACGACTATCATTGAATGCTTTCGCCGCGCCGTACCGGAGGCCATAGGGCTTCGTGACCTCTTCAAAGCCCGTAATTTCGCCCCCACGTTTCATACGATAACGTAGCCAGCCGCCTGTCAGATTCTGTTCCAGGGCAATTCGGATCCCATTGGGTTCTCTCAATGCGTGACAAAAAACATATTGATCAAGAATTTCCGGTCTCAACTTCAACTCCTGCTGTCCAAGTCCATTCAAAACCCGAAGACTATACAAATTTTCTGGACAGTTCATCACGCGACCGTCTTTAGAAAGCGTCTTGAATGCCCCGATTCGAAAAAGCAAGCCCAACAAGAAAACGTGCGGGCTAAGGACCAGCGTAGGATCAAAAATGACCTCCGGGATAGGGAAGGTATTCCTATTGCAATCAGCTAAGCTGACCTGATTCGAGCTCGTATCGCTGTGAGGAGGGTAAAAGAGGAATGGAAGGACAACGACAGGGCAAGGTGAATAGAACCATGGATATAAACGAGGGATTGAGGGCTAGGGGAATATTCTTACGATTCCTTCTTGCCAAGAAATGATTTTGTGAACTCCGGTCTCATATAAATAAAAAGCCGAGGAAGGTGGCCATTTGGATCTCGTACCAGGGTCAACATGAGGTCCCGGTAACGAAGGTTCAAGAGCGCTCCAGGCCGGCTGCCAGTGATGGCGGCCAGTTGACAGTACAGGAGGAGCTGCACCCGGTACCAGCCACAAGGGAAAGTCATCTCCGTCGTAGACAGTACCACTCGAGCAAACTCGGCCACATCTTCAATATACATGGTCGCTTTCGGTCGCCGATCGAAGCATAGATTTTTCTCAGTAGCAACTATCGCAAGCACCTATGGGCTGTCAGCCATAAACAGACCAGTCTGACAGATTAGCGGACCAACAGACTCACATCCTCGATTTTGACGATCGTATCTTTACTAAGTCCATGTCCGACTTCAGCCTTGTAGACCAGATGCCACCATTTCCAGAATGTCTCCAGCGAGCTTTTATACTTCAGTCCCGGCGTGTGTCGCCCGTTCTTCCCCCTCCGCTGATCACAGCGCCAGGAAAAGAGAGCTTTCAAAAAACGGATCGTCTCCTCTGTGTCAGAGAGCCAGAAGAAACATTCCACCGGGTCCCGCTTTCCGCCCTCACAAAACCTGGAATAATTAGCCAAATGCAATTGGAGAAACCATGGGGGTGGCACGCTCTCACCTGTCCCAATAGTCCCGCGTCTCATCCAGTTTGTCTTGGGTTCTTGGGCTGTAGCGTTTTTGCCGAAGCTGGGAGACATCGAGACACTCTGCCTCCTGGAGATAGTGCTCCGGTGGAAGCTGCTTCTCTTCGTCTTCCATGGGAAATTCATCCTCCGACTCCGATTCATCCTCGTCATCACAATATGTGGTGACCGAATCGGTTTCTGAGGCTTCGTTCGAGAAGATCTCAGGCAGTTCTGAGCTCGCGTCGCTCTCGTCGTCTGACAAATCAGGACGTGAAAGGCAAGTCATGATGTGGGAGCAGTGTCCGGCAGGGAATAGGGAACTGATCAAGAGTGTATAGAATCCACTCGAAACACCAAGTTTCTGCCGGAGAAACAGATTGGATGATGAGAAGATCGCTGGCGAGCGGGAAGAATGAAAATTCGGGAGTCATGGCAGTCGGTATTTATGGAATCTAGGGAATAAAGGTGCTCAAAAGATGCTGAAAGGGGAGACAGAATGTCTCCTTCTTTCCGGACCCTGGTTGGAACGGGCTCGCAGCGGCAGTATCACGAGTGGGACCAGGAACGGCCGGCGCTCCAGTGAGGTCGCTGCAGGGCTAGGCGCCATGCAACGGCCAAAAAGAGAGTGAAAGTGGCAGTAGGTCACATTGGCTGTGTCCTTAGATACACGTGACGCCAAGACCGTCGCCGGTGAATGGGAGGCTTAAAACGGCCCCCGAAGCGGCCTTTTCTGGCCTGCTATTCACCGTCTCATTGTTATGCGTAGTATATATTTCGAATTAGGCTCTGATTTATAATATAGTCACAGATTCTTAGGTCCTTGATAAATCCAGTCATTTATGGATAACTATAGATAGATGCTTCCCATATATTCTAACTACACATTCCAATATAATTACCTTCTATGACCAAACATGATTTGACTCGAAACCTGTGTAGTCGAGAGCACGGACCAACCAGGGAGATTCGCATTCCCGCGGATCCTCCACTCAACACCACCACTGTCCTCCAAAGGCCTAAATGTCCCTATTGCGCGAAGCTGAGAGATGCGTCGCTAATCAATACGCACACGGAATCAATGCCTTCATAACCCCACTATCGCGCGCGGGGCCATGGCTGGACCGCGTGAAGGAGGCAGATGCGCGCAAGGAATCAGGTAGCTCCCATTGAACTCCGTGCTCTCGACCATCACTGACAGATATATGTGAGTAGGAAAGCCCAAATCTGCCGTCGATGGCCGCTTAATATCTATCAAAGACAATATCTGCACACGCAGCATGCCAACAACATGTGCATCGGGAATTCTGGATAAATTTACGAGCCCATTCAATGCTACCGTCGTTGACGAATTGGAGACCGCGGGTGCTATTATTGCCGGAAAGACAAATTTGGATGAGTTTGGAATGGGATCCAATTCGATCAACTCGTATTTTGGTGCTGTCAAGAACCCGCGTCGAGGTCGAAGCGGGGAGGACCTCTCAGCTGGTGGAAGCTCTGGAGGAAGTGCTGCGTCAGTTGCTGGCGACCAATGCTATGCGTAAGTAGTAGCACACCACGAGAAATTACCTTGGCTGACTGGAACTATATGTAGCTCGCTGGGTACAGACACCGGAGGCTCTGTCAGACTTCCGGCTGCATACACTGGAACAGTGGGCTTCAAGCCGTCATACGGCATGATCTCACGATGGGGAGTGGTAGCGTATGCCAATTCTCTAGACACAGTTGGCATTTTGAGCAAGACCACTGCTAGTGTACGGGATATCTTCGGTATGGTTCCGTTCCTACATAGCACCAAGCCACGGCCCCCTAACAAGACTCTTATAGGTCTCCTCAACAAGCATGACCAGCGTGACCCAACCAATCTGTCCACTCAATCCCGTTCCCGCATTAATGCATACCACCAGACCCCGCGCCTCGCCTCCCGGCTAACATCAGCACCCCTCCGGATCGGCGTACCAATCGAATATAATGTCTCCGAACTAACACCCTCAGTCCGACGTGCGTGGACCCTATCTCTAGCACACCTCCAGAAACAAGGACACACAATCCACCCAGTCTCTCTACCCGCCACAAGACACGCCCTCTCAGCATACTATATCCTAGCACCAGGCGAAGCGTCGTCAAACCTGGCCAAATACGACGGAGTCCGATACGGCACTCGCGCCGAAGGTCCAGACGGCGACGGAAAACCAGATGGATACCTGTACGCCAACACCCGCGGCGAGGGCTTTGGAGCAGAAGTAAAGAGACGAATTGTCCTAGGCACGTTTTCTCTCAGCGCCGACGAAATCGATAACTACTTCATCAAAGCACAGCGGGTTCGTCGCCTAGTTCAACATGACTTCGATTCCGTCTTTGCAGCTAAACATCCGTTGCATGTGACTGCTTCTCAGCATGCGCAGGATGATTCATTGACACACCCTGATGTCGACGTCTTGATCTGTCCTACTGCACCCTCTTCCCCACCGCGACTGTCAGATTTGACAGACCCGAAGAAGAAAGCTTCCCTTGATGCCTATGTCACGGATGTATTCACCGTCCCGGCCAGTCTGGCCGGTTTGCCTGCGGTTTCGGTGCCTGTTACTGTAGCCGGGCAAGGAGATGAGGCAGAGTTAGCTGGCATTCAAGTCGTGGGCCAGTATGGAGATGACGAATTGGTTATGAATGTGGGAGAGATGTTGGAAGGGAAGAGTTTGGATGAGGCTTCATGATATCAACTCAAGTGCTGAGGGATCATCGGCCTTTTTTCGTTACTTTGTCTAGACAGTCGTCTAGGACATGTTTGTATGATTACTCCCAGATCTGTATATTATATCCCATCAAAGGCTTAAATCTTTGGACTCTGATTGAAATTTGGTATCAATGCTATCATGCAGTTCCGAAACGCCTGTATATCATCCTACATGCCTAATAAGCAAATCAATGGCTGTCGCACAGAGGGTCCGAGCTAGGAAGCTCATACCAAGCCCGCTTCGACGCGAATTATGCCATACAATACTCGTCACTTCTCCTCTCCTCTTCAAACCATCAAGTCATATCAACATCCCCATCCCCGTCCCCATCGCCCGTAATCTCCACCGCCAAAGGCGTCCCAGCCGTCCCAACACTAACGCCATCCTCACCAACACCACCAACACCATCCGCAGCAATCGGCGTCTCGCGGTTACTATTAGCCGCGGAGTCCGACGCACCAGCTGTACCAGGGGTATTAGCAGAAACAGAATCAATGGCAGCACCAACACCACCCTTCAAAACCTCCGCACCACCCACAGCTCCAGAAGCCGAGCCTTCTTCAAGCCCCCATCTCCAGCGGGATTATTATTCCCAATAACATCGCCATCAATCCCACCCCAGGTAAACATAGCTTCGACCTCGTCGACGATATCAGCCAGGACGTCTTCGACGATTTGATCATTGAAGCGTTCGCCCATGGGCCGGACGGGGGCTCCGGATTCTGTGGTTGATGGTGGACCTACCCACCACGGCCCCTCGAATCGACATTCCACTGCGCCGCCGCCGTAGCAGCTCACGGCCGGGTAGTAGCCTATCATGCCATCGTCGGCGTTCTCGCGCTCGCCGATGCCGAGGTTGTTTGTGCCATTTGCGAGGCGGCTAGCTGGTGGGAGGAAGGCGTAGAGTTCTTTGAAGGGGGTCCCCATTTCCTTGCCGTTTTTGAAGATTGTGATGCTGGATCCTGGGAGCGTGCGGAGGGTTGGGTCTTCGGCGTTTGTGGGGGATGGACGGCCGAAGGTGGGTGTTTCTTTTAGGTTGAAGGCATAGTCGCGGAGGTGTTTTGTCGAGAAGACGTTTGATTGTTGCCAGCAGAAGTCGGATTTGTAGTGGAAGGGGATTCGGTCGCGGATGATGTTCGTTGCTGTGGGTGGGTGTGAGCGTTGGTTGTCCGTCGCTGGGTCGTATGTTCCTTCGACTATTTTCTTGTGTAGGGATAGAGGTGGTAGCGTGATTAGCATGCCGATTACGTCGCCTTCGTTGATGGCTTCGCCTTTTGGGAAGAAGAATTCGCAGCGCATGCGGTTGACTACTTCGCCGTTTACGTCGCGGATGCCGTAGCCGTAGCAGTCGACTCCGACGTTGACGTCTAGGTCGGCTTCGCGGCGTGCGAATCCGATGCGGACGTGGCCGCGCGGTGAGGTTGTTGATCTGCCGTTTTGAGGTGGGTTTTGGGGGTCGTTGACTATCCCGCTAATTACCCGGGCTTCGTAGTAGTATGTACCTTCTCGGGCACACACATTCGCGCGAGCTGTATGCCATGCATCACTGGTGGTTACCGCAGTAGCGGTCTCGGAGAATGAGATGGCGGCTGGTGAATCCTCGAAACTGAAGCGGGCATGGTATGGGCGGACATCTGTCTGTCGATATTTGATGTGGGGGAAGCCAGGGTCGGCAATGGCGTAGCTGTAGCGGAAACCATTCTTGTTGGTGAGTTTGTCCACGACTTCGTAGAAATCCCAGCTCTGGCCCAGTACGTCGGAGGTCTTCTTGCTCACGTGGTTGAGCTGGCGAGGCTGTGGCGGGTACCTGTCTGTGGCATTTGGCTCGGCGAGAAGCAAAGGTCGGAGGATACGCAGTTTTGAACTGGGGAGGGCAGTGCTTTGTGCAGCCGTGGCGCGTTTCTTGGTAGGAGGAGCATTCTCAGTGTCCAGGCCCTTGGCTTCACGTTTCTTGCGACTGTCCCGTTTGTTGCGCTTTGCTCGGCCGTCACCTTGGACAGATGCGACACTGCCGGGGGCTGGAGATGATCTTGGGTTTAAGTCCGAGAATTGCGCGTTGAGCAATGGTCCGCCATTGGGAGGTAGATTGGGGGAGTTGATGTTTGACGAGGGAGCAGAAGACCCAGGAGCTTGGCCGGATGCCATGGTGAAGAGAGGTATCTATACCTAGTTTGGAGAAGGATAAAGACTGTGGGGTCCTGCTGATATATTGCTTCTGGCAAACGGTAATTCAAAGTAGGACGTTGGCATCTGGGGTCAGAATAGAGTTAGTGAATGGGATAAAGACCAATTCGAGGGGATTCAGAGCCTTGAATACAGTTTCAAGCACATTTTAAGAAGTAGAATCCTCATGTGATCTTACCCAATCTGATAAATCGAGATGGTATCAATATGCTGTCGCCAACAAACTGTTCGCGAGGCGCGTACACGCGGAAATATATAGGAGACCTGCGCCCTCAGAGCTTCTCAATTGAAATCACAAGCTATCCCGGAACCAAACGAGTCTGCTTGGTACGCAGCAAACAGAGACAGCAGTGTACCTTCAGCTGATCTCAATCATGCGCGATGATCCGATCTCCTTGAGTGGAAGGGCGGTCAAAGACAACCGGGCAGAAAAGTGTCGGAGGTTCGGGGCGGTGTGGACACAGGCGGTGAATTGATTGGGGGGCACCGCCTGGCAAAAAAAAAAATATGACCACACAATTTCCGATGTGGGCTTTGATGCGAGGTTTCTAGGCGCTGCTTTCACTCTATCTTTTGGGACATATCAGTCACTAGAAAACACATTCACCATGCCCAAGGCAGGAACTTCCCGAGCCGCTGCTGCGGCTCGCAGACACAACCCTCTCGCCGAAGATATTAGTTCCGCGGGGCACCTTCGGACACAGAGCAGCAAGAAGGGCAAGGGCAAGGCCGGAAACGACGAGGATGGCGAAAATGGACAGGGATACATCGATGCGAAGATGTCGCGGAACATTCTACAGATGGGCCAGGAATTGGCCGACGAAGACGCTGCGGAACAAAAGCTCGCCCAGGGCTCAGCCAAGTCGAACGGCGCATTTGAATTCGATACTCGGTTCGAAGAGGAGGAGCCTTTCTCGGACGACGAGGGCAAGTTTGAAGCCGATGACTGGGTTGATGACGAAGTTGAGGAAGTTGTAAGAGCTTTCAATCTTCCAGTTGATATCGTTTATACTAATATCTCCATAGGAGGTCGATCCCAATGATCTAGATATGTTCAACAAGTTCATGCCTGGCCACGAGGAAGACCCTATATTCCACCCCAGAGACCCCAACGCCAGTGGCCAGACCACAAACCTTGCCGATTTGATTCTAGAGAAGATCGCCGAGCACGAGGCCAAGCAAGCTGGTGAGCACACTGGTGGACCGTTCATTCAAGGTGGTGGATTGCCCGAGGATGCGGTCCAGATCCCCGCCAAGGCCATCGAAGTATACGAGAAGTATGTATTCCAGGTCCCATCAAATAATTCAAGCTAATACTGTTTAGGGTCGCCATGATTCTTCGTCGCTACAAGTCTGGCCCTCTCCCCAAGCCCTTCAAGATCCTCCCCTCAGTACCCAACTGGCAAACCCTCCTGGAGATCACCGAACCCGCAGATTGGACCGGCAATGCCGTCTACGCCGGAACCAGAATCTTCATCTCCTCCAAGCCGCACGTAGCCCAAGAGTTCATCAACATGGTCCTCCTGGAGCGCACCCGCTCCGAGATCCACGAAACCCGCAAGTTGAACGTCCACACCTACAACGCTCTGCGCAAGGCGCTGTACAAGCCCGCCTGCTTCTTCAAAGGACTCCTCTTCCCCCTCGTCGCAAGCGGCACCTGCACCCTGCGCGAAGCCCACATTGTCTCATCAGTGATTGCCCGCGTCTCCGTCCCAGTGCTACACTCCGCAGCGGCTCTGCTGCGCATGTGCGACCTCGCTGCGGAGCAGTCAATGACATCGCTCGAAAGCACCGGCGCCGTCAACATGTTCATCCGAGTCTTCCTGGAGAAGAAGTACGCACTGCCATACAAGGTCATCGACGCGGTGGTCTTCCACTTCATGCGTTTCCGCGCAGTCGACCCTTCCGAAGCCATGAATGACGGACCCAACGGCCTTAACTCCAAGGGCTACAAGCTACCCGTGCTGTGGCACCAGTCTCTGCTGGTCTTCGCCCAGCGTTACCGTAACGACATCACCGAGGATCAGCGTGAGGCTCTTCTCGATCTGCTGCTCGTCCGTGGGCACAAGGACATCGGACCCGAGGTCAGGCGTGAATTGCTTGCTGGCCGAGGACGTGGTGTTGTCGTTCCTGATCCTGAGATGCAGAATGCTCTCGATGCCGGCGACGATACGATGGATGTTACCATGTAGATGTAGATCGATCGACGGATTTTTCACCAAGCCCTGCATGTATTCGCTTACGATTTGGCCATGAGCACTGTTTCTATGGGATGGCGTTTCATCTTTTACTGTTTTCTTTTCTCTTTTTGCCACGGATGGTCTGCATATAATTCCCCTGGTGTCAGGTTTCCAAAAAATGGGATGAATATAAGCCGAACTATGAAGGACTCGATTCTCTGAATATACTAGTAGCACTACGAAATAGACTACTGCTTCAAGTATACATGTATCATCAAAAGAAATAACGTTAACCCACTAGTTCAATGTCTATACACATGCACACACATGCACATACACATTCAATAGAATAGGAGTGACTCCTATTCCAATCTGAGACGAGCAGAGGGGCGCAATACCACAATAACCTCCAGGTCGTTTCAGCCCCTTCCCCTTCCCCTCCCCTCCACACCTTCCGCAACGTTCCAGACAATTCGATGTAATCCCAGAGATATAGGGCGCCCACTCCATTTCCACCAATCCGATCAGCCCCTGCATAGTCCGTGTACAGTACCGTTGCAATTTTCAATGAACAATGGACATTCCAACTCAGGGGCGGAGAATTAGATTGGCGTGCTCAGGCTACTGATTGGTTTTGGCATGGGACATTCTCCGTGATCGCCTCGCTTCAGCTGGATTGGGCCCACTTAGGGGCTGTTCGAGACTGTGAGACTGCGGGTACGGAGGACGGAGTCCGTAGTGTGCTGCACATGTAAGTTAGAGGGGGCTGATGTGATATCGGGGGTATCGTTGCATTTTCGTCTGTGGGACGTTGATGTATAAAGTTACTATTGTACTATAGAGGGGGGCTCTGATGAGTCGATTGGATGTGTTTATTTGCCGAGTCATTGATTTTACAGTTGTACAAAGTATTGGACCCCAATGTAATGCATATGGGGGCTACTACATAGGGGCCATAGAGCCAACACCTTGGGGGCACTCGTATATTGGGGGGCCTGGCCTCTATAGATAGTAACAGGGGCTGAGTATGGCCGTACGGGTACGTATGCCATGTAGTAAGGAGAAGGCGAATGTTTCGGGTGTGACAATGTGATTGGCTGGAATTCAGCCGGAACCATGGAATGCAGGGGCGCAGGGGGAAATGATGCGTAATTTACACCAAATGGGTACTTCCCCTATCATAGTGTAATGTATGCGCCACCTTGTACCTGCAGTCCCCTTTGTCCCCCCCTTCAGACCACGCTGGCCTCTACTTAAGTCTGCCACTCTGCCACTCTTCCACCTTCTGCAAACAGACAGTTGTCCTTTCCATTCTCTCTCTTCTTGCTGACTCACCTCTGACTCAATTTCCCCGGAGTCTGGATCTCCGGTGCCGTGATGACAGCGTGGCCTTGACTAGGTTAATCTCATCTTACCCCTCAAGTGTCTTCATCTGAACACAACCTCGCATCCGGCACCGGTATCCAATATCATGGCCGACACTATCAACCCGTTGGACACTTTGCCAACATCTCCTGATCCCGAAATGTACACAATCTCCCCCGCAGATACATCACTGGACTCGCCAGAGCCAGAGGATGACATCAAGGAGGAAGAGGACGAGAAGAAGCCAGCAAAGAAGAGAAAGTCTTGGGGACAAGAACTCCCAACCCCAAAGACAAATCTCCCTCCTCGGTATGTGTGCCCTCCATTCGCCCACTCGCGAATCATCACTAACAGAACCAGCAAACGCGCTAAGACAGATGATGAGAAAGAGCAGCGTCGGATAGAACGGGTCCTCCGGAACCGCGCGGCCGCTCAAACATCACGCGAACGCAAGAGACTGGAGATGGAGAAGCTCGAGACCGAGAAGATCCGCATGGAACAACAGAATCAGTTCCTTATTCAGCGGCTATCACAGATGGAGACCGAGAACAACCGCCTCAGTCAACAGGTGGCTCAACTCTCCGCTGAGGTCCGCGGATCTCGTAGCGCCACTCCCAAAGCCAGCTCTCCCGCCATCGAATCTCCCACCCTCACGCCCACCCTCTTCAAGCAGGAAGGCGACGAACTCCCCATGGAACGAATCCCCTTCCCCACCCCCTCTGTGACCGACTACTCCCCCACCCTCAAGCCTTCCACTCTGGCTGAAGCCTCCGACGCGACACAACATCCTGCAGCGGTGTTGTGTGACCTGCAGTGTCCGTCGGAGGTCTCGAAGGAGCTGGAAGCGCCCTCCCTCTCTTCGACCTTTCCGAAGAACCTTCAACTGCAAATGACGTTGCAGCTCCTCTTTCTGACGATGACTTCCGCCGCCTGTTCAACGGTGATTCACCCGCTGAGCCAAATTCTTCTTTCCCTGAAGACGGGTTTGCCTTTGATGTTCTCGACGGCGGAGATCTATCAGCATTTCCCTTTGATTCTATGGTTGATTTCGACCCCGAGTCTGTCGTCCTCGAAGGCGTCCAGTCGTCCGGTGTTTCGGATGAGACTGCTCACCAGACTACTTGCTTGCAGCCCAGCCTTGGCGCGTCCACTTCGCGATGCGACGGGCAGAGCATTGCAGCTAGCGGTTAGTGAGCATTTCTCCCCGACCTGGTCGGCTGGCGCCCCGGAGGCTCGACCGAGTTGGGAGTTGTTGTTGACCATGGCCTGGGCAATCGATAGTCTCGGTCTGTCGCAACAGGGTAGTACTTTGAAATCCGGTCGGCGACGTATTAACGGAAAGCATCGAGTTTCACGGAGTTCCAGGAGTTCTCGCAGATTATCTCTGCTGAGCAAACGCTGAGGGTTTTTGGCTGTATACTAGTTTTTAGCAAATTTGACTGGCTCACTTTGCCTACTTTTTTTACTTAAATCTTGTAGACTGATCTGGTGCTGACAAGGTATAGCCGTGATGGCCGAAGCAACCTGCTGCCTAACCTATAAACAACTTATTCTACACTGAATGGACTCTACATCTCAATCGAGTAAACCGGCAATTCGACCGATGTAGACTGGTCTGCGACCAAAATAAACCGACGCTAAAAATGCACTGAATGCGGTCAGTGACGTTTGCCACGCGCTATCTCCAACCCTCTTTCATATCTCCAACTCCATCCTTCTCTCTCTCTCTCTCATACATCCAATCCAACCGCCATCATGGTTCGCAAAGACCCCATCTTCGAAGCCCGCACAAATGTCAAGGTAAGCAACCTCCGTCCCACCTGGGCACTCCGATCCCACTCCCACTCCCCGCACTCCCTCCACCCAACAACGAACATACACAACCACCCCGAAACACCGCAAACAGCCTCATCAACCTCAAATCAAATACTAACACTAAAATAGCTCCACTCAAACCGCTTAAAAAAAGAAGCCATCCGCGCCGAATCAACCTACAAATCCGAAAAAGCAAAAGCAGACAAAGCGATGAAAAACCATGAATTCCAAATCGCCCGAATCCACGCCGCATCAGCAATCCGCGAAAAACGCCGTCAAGTAACACTAAAATCCGAAGCGGCCCGCGCAGACGTAATAATCAACGAACTAAAAGCCGCCCAAAGCACGCGCGACACATCACGCACGTTGGCGCTTGCATCGCGTGGTCTGGACGCTGCGTCGCGCAGTGTTAACCTTGAACAGCTGGTCGGGCATGCGAATAATTTCCTGGCGCGCAGTGAGGATTTCAAGATTGCTAGTTCTGCTATTGAGGATGTTGCGCAAGGTGTTAGTATGCAGGAGTATGGAGCTGAGGGGGAGACGGAGGTTGATCGGCTTATGGAGCAGCTTGCTGATGATGCTGGCGTTGATATGAGGCGGAATCTTGAGGAGAGTCAGGTTCCTAAGGAGGAGGTGAAGGTTCCCGAGAGGCAGGGGGTTGATGCTGAGGCGGAGGATGGGCTTGGGGCGAGATTGAGGGCTTTGAGAGCTGCTAATTAATCCTTGGTTTCATTTCCTTGTCTTTTGTCTTGTGTGGCTGGTGCTACGACGAAGTTACGTCTTGCTTTTGCACTTGGGCTGAGTGCTCTTTTTCTCTCGTCTTGTTCTCGATTTTGTTCTGTTCAGTCCCGCTGTTTCATACTTCTAAGCGTTGAATATATGTATACATGAACCGGTGCCTCCGTATGATATTCCAAAGTTGATATCCAAGTGAATGCGAAGTGTCAAGGATGCTACCTCCCTTGCTTAGCACCTATCTATCAACCATTACCCCCAGACATTGATCGCAAAGGTTGGACCTTTGCTGGTTGGGTGGTAGGGGGAAAATAGTGCCCTATATGATCCTCTACAAAGTAAGAACAAGTACATACGACCATAGGGTGTGGAGAACAGGGCTTCCCGTCCGCTCAGCCGTACTTAAGCCACACGCCGGTAAGTTAGTAGTTAGGTGGGTGACCACTAGCGAATCCTTACTGTTGTATGTTTTTTGCTTTTGTTTGCCTTTTACATATCTATCGTACAATCTACCGTAGCATTGGTTTTGTTTTATAGCACACCGACGAGGACCACATTTTGAAGTCTATAGAGGCCAAGCAAGCCCTTTATCAAAGTCCAGCGTTATTGATGTTTTTGATTGACCTGGATAAAGGGCATCAAACTATATCTATTATGGCAACCTAGATTCCTACTTAAGCAAGTAAACTAGAGGCCTAGATTTTGTTTGTCTACAAACGGATCTTTTGAATTCCAGTCCGTCTTAGCTTGTACAGGAGACGGCGGCGGACTAGTTCAACGAAAGTGGAGATCTAATAGGAATAATCGGCTATAATATCACGAATTGCCTATAGTGCCCCCGCTAAGTTCTATTTAAAAAGGCGCTAATTTCTTTATATAAGGATCTGAAACTAGATCGGGTTCAATAGTGAGACACTAAGGTCTTCCGAGGTGTTACGGCCCCTGCAGCCGCAACCTACAAATGGGCCATCGAGAGCCAACCAACAAACCGTGTCAGCAAAGTCACGTGCACATACCACGATTAATCATGACCATTCCATCGTGTGCGAACGCTATAGTGTAAATGCGAGAATAGATAGAGACGCAGTCACATCTAGACGTCTTAGGGATTCTAACTGCATAGGGCAGTCCCTGTCCTAAGAAAGACCACGGCTTAGCACGCACCTACGCGACGGGGTCGCCCTGCGGACCGCGCCGTCCTAAGCTTACAGATATCCTACAAGAAGCCACGACTCTATCAATACTATCGAACGTATCGTAAGACACTAACGATCCTAGAAACGGTACTGTCTTAAGACATAACCTGTATACCCTCAGGCGGCCTCAGGCACCTGGCAGTGCCACGCTGTCCGCATTAGCGTGAACTATTCGTCGAGTGCTGAAGTAAAAGTATGCGTAGACCACTCTTAATAAGGGAGGTTCGAATTGTGGTAGAATACTATGAGGAGAAGCAGAAACAATAAACCTATGTTCAACAGAAAAAGTGTCAAGATCTCGATGTATGTGACCACTTGAGATATCGACACGGGTATTGTATTGCCCTTATGCTCACTATTCCGATTTACGGGTCCATTGTAGCGGCATAAGCCATGCAATCGGACCATATATAGATACGGTCCCATGCAATCTCCATAAGATGAGTAGTCAGTTAGTTCACCATTGCCCACTAAGGCTAGCTAGGCGCAGCGTTGACACTAGCCCAACATCTAGCTAGCTAGAAACGCTAGGCGGAAAGTACACGAGTGTTTCTGTTTGACATCATGCCAAACAGTGGTGATTCCATTGCCATCTCCATTTACACCATATCAGATTTTAGATGAGCGGGATAGCATGGTTTTGCTACATGACCCAAAGCGATTCGTTACCCGTCCTTCTACCGTGCGTTTCTATAAAATCCTCTATGTCGCCTGAGTATGGTCGACGTTCTTTACTTCACCACTGCCTTCCTACCCTTTTCACCACTGGACCCCAATCACCTAGGAGAGCAATACCTAGCAAGTATACCTAGATACCACTGCTGATATTCAACAACCTTGGAAGAATGGATGTATGTATAAAATCAACTGTTATTCAAAGAATACAGCGCACTCCGGACGCCGGCAGCCACGCAATTCTCTCTGTATATAATTTACATGATGGGACTCCCTTCGAGTCTTTCAAATCCCAGTTGATGCTCCATGGCGGAAGGCTGTTGACTGCTTTTTCCATGTTCTCAAACATCTCCACAATATCTTTGTTCGACTGGATGCCCTTTGCGTTTTGAGTGCCTGATGCCGAATTCCAACTACGCAGTGTTGAAGCCCACTCCTTAACGAACTTTCGACTCTTTTGCTCCACGACCGCGTGTCGATCCTTGATATAGGCGCGCCATTCATCTGCAAAGTCCTGTCCTCGGTAAGGGGCTTTTGGATCCACATATCCCTGGATCCCACCGATCTGAAGATAATTAGCGGTTTGTCTTCGTACTCTTTCCGAAGTTGAAGTCTCACGTTCTGTTGTAAGAGAGTGTCCTCCGCTTGCTCCCTGCCAGCTGAAGTTAGTATTCGGCCTTGTGTGACCGGTGTCGTGTGGATGGAACTCGTACATGTTATGGGCAACCCGATTGACTTGCTTTACCAGAATCTTTTGGACTTCGGGAGTTCCAAGGTATCTGCTTTATCAGTATCCTCTTGATATAACTCCTGGGATCAGGATCAGCACCTACTTGTAGAAGTAAATATGGGCCTTGACATATTTCAATGCTGAACCCCAGTCAGGCTGCTTTTTGTCTTCAGCCTTCTTAATGATCCTATTCAAACTTGCTTTGTGGGTTTCCTCGTTTCCTCCAAAGTACTTCAACTCGTCAGTTGAATGCTGCCAATGGGAACAATGGAATGTGTTAGAAACTTACATTTGCTTTCACTGCAGAGTTGATGTATGCAGGAAGAAGCACCTGGGTAGATTTCGCATGTCAGCCAGGATTCTCAAGCAATCCAAGGTTGAGAAACCTACAAACTCTTCAGAATTTATCCACTTCCTTCCATCTTTCCCAGGATAAGCCGAGGCAACAAATTTGTGGGCACTCCAGGCCTTCTTATCATCATCGTTCTTCGCCCACCAAACCTTCATGTAATCACACATATTGATGACTCCCGAATATCCCTGGCGGGGGTCATTAAACTCGAGTGCATATGGATTGGAGTTAGAGTCGCTATCGGCATCACCCATCTCGACATCACCGTCGTCGTCGGCCTCGCCCATTTCGGTATCACCGTCGTCATCAGAGTCACTATCATCAGAAAGAACATTGGATCGCTTGATCGTCATATATCTGAAGAATTGAGGAAGCTATGATGGGTTAGTTTGGATGGAAACGGCGTGAATGTCGGAGGCAAGATCAAGCAATACATACCACCTGGGCTTCAAGAACGTGCTCGGCTGAGAGATGGGTGAGAATCTGGCTATTCCAAAACATAATTAACAGATTGGCAGGACTTACCATCGTATCGTGGCTTGCTTTTCCCTGGCTCTTTGGGAGTGGTGACGATTCCAAAGTCGAAGTTGTTGCAGTCATCAGGTTTGATCCCATCATATGACACGACATTGGACGCGCCGAATTTTCTAACCAAGTCCCCGGAGGATGGGAAAGTTGGAAAGTTGATTTGTAACCCATTGGTTGTGAAGCCCTCGTATTGTGTGGCATCTTTCCTGGTGTCCTGCTTGCAATAGTCCATTGGTTCTTTTTCACTCCGTTTGTACAGCATTTTGGTTTGCAAAGACGACATATCACAGTCAGGATCCGGGTCATCAGACGAATCATCGCGCCCTGGGCATGAAATGTGTGAGGTTGACCATGCGCACTGGCGTTTGGATTCCTTCGGTGCATCCAATGCGCGGCTCTCCAACTTGGTGGAATTGGGCAATGTCATAAAGCCAGCATGCTCCGATCGTCCCGCCAGCGAGGAGAATGGGATACAATCATGATAGACCTGTCTCATCGTAGGGGAGTTGAAGGTATACTCATTCTTGCCCCACGCTTCAATGCCACTCTTAACACTCAGCTCGGCTTCAACCTCTGCCTTCAATGTCAGATCTATGCCTGCGCAAGATGTACCGGCAGTTGCTGGACATGATGTTAGGTAATCGAATTCTTCCAAAAAAACAAATTGGGAAGAAAAAAGCAACTTACCGGCAACACCAAAGTCGAAATCGGCCGTTGTTGACAACTTGATGTTGGTACTTGCCAGGTCTCCCTTCTTTGGGATGTAAAGACCAATGTCGACTCCAATGCTTGGTTTGACGGAGAACGCAATATTTCCACCGGCGTTAGCCTTGATCTCGCCAACGGTACCGACGGGCCCCATCTTGGAATCTGTGTCAAAACTACCGGATTCAACGGGCATATCGGCCAACGTGTCTGGCAGGAAGTACCAGTATCTTGGGTGATAGAGACTGATACCGACCTGGGCATCGGCAGAGATCCCTACATCAGCCTGAACCCGAGCCTCGAGTTCGAAGTAAGGATTGACCTTGAAGATACCTTTGATGAAATAGTTTGCACCAAAGCTGTCAAAGCTGCCAAGTGGCACGTAGCCGCTTGAGAAATGCATCTTCGCCCAAGCTTCAAAGTCGACTCCCATCGTGGCATTGAAATCCTCTTGATTGAAGAATGTAAATGCCTCCGTGAATCCAAAGTTCTTCAATGTGCCGATGAGAGACATGCCCATGTCCATGGTCGTGTCAAGTGTTCCGAACACGTTCGCTTTAACGGTGGCATTGGCGTTTCCACAGCTGGCAGATGCACCAAGCAGACACTCGTTGTACTCATAGTGCTTTTTCAAGCCAACCTTTTCCTTGCCATCCTTGTCTGTCTTGAGCAGATTCTGGAACTTTTTCAACCAGGAGTGCGGGTCCTTTTCGGCCCACCAGCGGCGATCGTAATGCCTCCAATTGCTGGCGTCACGTTTCGAGGGTGAGTCATGAGGATCGGCTACCAGACTCTTCCAGTATCCTTCATACAGTTAGCAGATTGAACGAGAAGCTTGAGCAATAGGAAGCTACCTGGATGCGTGGACATATCCGCTCGGAAGTGAATTTCTTCTCCATCCCGCCGAAGCAAGTCAAAATTGTAGTCGTAGTGGAAGTCGTAAATTGCTGCTCCAGCACCAGCGCGCTTGGAAAGGTGCTCGGGTATAGAGCCGCTGTGCGACCTTTCAAAGCTCACAGCACGCACCCATTCATCGGGCCCGCAGTGACTAGGAAGACGAACGACAGTTCCTTCCACGCCTCCTTTGAGGATATGCTCACAGTTGCTGTCCGAGGAATCATCAAGGCAGACAGCCTTTGCATGCTGTGTAGTGAAGTCGTCTACATGGGTGTTCGGGCAATCAAACAGCTGGAGATGCGACCCGTCTCTCTTGGAGAAACTCTGAACATCTTCCGGTTCACCAACCATGACCATCCAAGAGAAGCTGCTCTTGTTAGGATCAGTCCCCTCCCCTTCTTCGTCTGCACCGACTTCATCCGGACTGTTTTGAATGACTTCACTGAAATCGACGTCTAGGTCACTACTAAAGTCCTTGCCACCAGGGAACAGATTTTCCAATGGCACGGGAATGAACGGTGAGCCACCATGGACAGGAGGATCACAACAGAAGGATGCTTTATCTCCGTTTGCACATCCTATGAAGGGAGTTTTGTCCTTGTCTGCTCCATCCTTTGCGTGAAGTCCGGCCCATCTAGTCAGCTCAATTTGGCCCTAAAGACATGTTAGGAAATCAGCGACTTAGCAGAATGATATCAGCTTACCGTTGGACACGCATTGTTGTGGCAGGTCAGGGCCTCTCCATGCCATCCACAGTTGCTATATTTCTAGAGCGGTGTCAGAAAAAAATTATTCATATCACATCCACTGCGGTTTCACAACTCACGGGTTTGTCAGGGCAACACAGCTTCTGTTCTGTACCTGAGAGAGAAGTACCATACTGGAGGGTACTCGCAACCCACGTGAGCTCTTGGGGTCTATTACTTGGACAATCTTTTCCTTCATCCGCGAGCTTGCAGTTTTGTATCGCTTTTTGTCCATTTGTTGCGGGGCAACAATCTGAGAAGCGTCAGGATCAAAATATAGCTTCATCTTGGAAGGGAACCCACAAGCTTTCTTGCCTCCACAGTCACAGAAGAATCCTTTTTGGAAGTCACCGTCTCCACTGTCATCGAGAACCATTGTAACCTCTCCGGGCTCGCAGCTTGAGGTGCAAATGCCGCCGTTGTCAATTTCTCCTCTCCAGTGGCACGTAGACGAGTCAGGTGCTGTAGGAGCAGGACAACAGACTGCGTGATACTTCTGTCAGCAAGTCCTTCGGCATATTTAGGAATCGGTAGAACAAACAGGAACGCTGAGTATGACTTTTGCCAGCCCATGTGTGTTCGTCGTCGCTGTCCTCGGCACATCCCTTGTTATTCTTCTGATTAAGATGGGTCATCGTCGTGTCCCCGGACTTGCATTTCTTGCCACAATCAGTCACATAGCACTTGTTAAGATCAAATGCACCATATCCATCTTGTGTCAAGGGCGTAGAAACAATATTTTTGCCCAGCACTGCCTTGAGAGCGTGCATGTTGTCATCGTCTTGATCCAAAGCCCAAACAAAGATACCACCAAGGCCGCGGTCATTTGCGAGATCGATCTTTCTCTGGAATGTCACAGAGTCATCAAAGGATAGCCAGTTATTACCTTTATCACCATAGTTGAAATAGTAGACTGCAGCTTTTTCGTCGTAAGTGACTCCGGATCCAACAGACAAGCCTGCATTGTCCATTTCCATCAGAATTTCCGTGTAGGACAGGATGCCTTCAGTATGAGTGCACTCTCCCTTCGGGCCCGGGCCCTTAAAGTCGCATCCTGGTTTATTGCAGATTGAACTCTCCAACTCAAATGTTCGACCATAGAACTATTCAATCAGCCGGATCCACCTTTTGAAGATTTGAATTGGTAAACTCACAGCAAGACCAAGATTAATCTTGCTCGGTGTGACATCGTTGCGCCAAAAGAGATCCAAGGACAGGTTGATCTCGGTGAGGTTTGTGTGAGAGTAAACATGGCTGCCAATAGGATTGTCGCCATCCCAAGTTCCGTGAAGATCATAAGACATCAAGTTGAATGAATCAAGGTGTTCCTCTAGGGCTTTGAGGTCAAACCATCTGATGATGCGTTAGCTCCTGTGAGCAATATATGGTGGATATGAGACACTCACCGCAGATACCAATAGGATGTGGGGACCGTAATGGAGATTCCAAAGTTCTTACCACCGCCATGGACCGAGAAGAATCTCTTGATTCTCTGGAGCATCAAAGGGTAGTTACTTTTGTCCTTCGGATCGCCACCGCGATCGTCCGCACTGGGGTACTCCCAGTCGAAATCAACACCGTCGAAGCCATAATTGTTCATGAACTCAAGTAGCCCCTTGGCAAGCATCTTTGTCTTCGCCGTGGAAGCAGCGATATCGGAAAACAGATGGGGATACTGATCGGGGTCGTTGAAGGCCCAGCCTCCCAAGCTGATCCAAACCTTGAGATCGGGATTCCTGGTCTTTGTGTCGGCGAGACGGGTATATAATAAGTCAGGAACGTGCTCCATGTCTGCAATAGTGAAGTCCTTTGGGTCTATGTAGAGAAAGGCGATGTTCAACTGGTTGAGGTTTTCGACGGGAATCATCTCTGGAAGCATGATTCCGGAATCACCACAACCTCCTCCACTGTCTGCCTTCCACATTTCATAATATCCAATCACATTCTGACGCACGTCTTTGACCCCAGAGGCAGGTCGATCGACCTTCCCACAATTGGATTGACAACCTTGAAAAGTTAGAGATCTCATCCGATCCATCAAGGAATAGCTAGTCTACCTTCGCCGCAAAACTCCGCGGTGGTTCCTATTTTGGTCACATTAGTGGGCTGTGATAAACAGTAATAAAACGTTTATTAGATAATTCGTACCACAAAACCCAAATTCACTGGCACAAGAAGTGAGTATGAGACAAAAGACAGCGGATGTAGTTTTCATACCTGCAGCAAACGTTCAATGGACAAGTAGTACCGTTGACCTTCGCATATTGACCACACTCTGCTTTGGCATCACAGTTAGACCGACAGCCATCGCCGCAATATACCGGGCCAAAGCCGCAGACGTTGTTTTGGCCGCAGCAGGCTCCGTTATCACATTCTCTATGTGAAGAACATGTATGTTCTTGATCAGAGGAATCATCACGGCGAAGGTGAATAGGCTTTGCTTTGGATACTGGTGCATTTTCGGACCGATGATGCAGAGCCTCATGTCTATGATGCCCGTGTAGCCCCGAGACGGAAGCCCCGAAGGACGACAACAGCAGAAACGCTGTTACGGGAAAATAGCGCATTCTGATCCTCCTATCCTTGATGAGAGAAAATGAGAAATCGCAGGCCCCGTGGTCGGTATACCAAAGGACTCCTCTTTTGTGCACAGGGGAAATGAGACTATGTACTCCGTATCCCGAGACAACTCGCTTAGAAGGCGGGTCATGTTTACATGGACTCTGTAACTTAGCATTACATGGTGGTCTACTCCGTATGCTGGTTTAGCATTTACAAGACTTGTCTCCACTTTGGGCTACCAAAGCTTATAGATCAGCAGAAGTTACATTTGTTCCGAGGCTAGCAGTATCGGCTGTTTCGGAAGTGGGTTCAAAGTGGATGTTTCCCTTTCAGGATATCCACAGGTTATTTTCAGCCGCAGATATCCAGCTAATATTCAAAAAATCCAGATAAATCTTGGATATTCCAAGTACAAAGTAGTCGTCTGGGAACACAAAACATGTGGTTTGTGAACTTAGCAGGCCGAGGCTCGGGTTTTCACTTATTTTTCATGTTAGACTATTCAGTACATTCTAATAGCAGAGTTTGAAGTGGATATTGTGCTTTTACGTAGGATGTAACAGAAGTCACCCACAGCGGGGTCTGCATGTTGGGGTCCAAATCTGCAATCTGCTAGACCTTTGAGAAAATGCATCGAAGAACGGACTTCGGCATCGAGACGGTCAACGTCCTGGGGTTGAATACGCTAGATTCAGATAGACCCCCACAATCGCAGATTGAACACGAAGAGGGCTTATCCACAGCTATTTCACATTTACCGCTGGTATCTACTGTAAGCCGAGTACACACAACATAGGAGTAGACCGACTGAGTAAGTTTAAAACTCGGCACCATCGGGGTCTCGCAAAAGAATTTCAGATTCAACTTGAGTACTACCGGAGGGGATGAACCCGACAGCAGATCATTGAACGGGTTCATCGGTTCGGGGAAACCCTGGCCCCACTAGGATCCGGATTCTCCACCAGGGGGCCAACACGCGGAGCCTCTCTCTCCACTTTTGCACTCGGCATCGTCTGCAATTGTACTAAACGATCTGTGGTCTACATAGCCCCTGAAATGAGGCATTTTTAGATGTTTCGGGAGACCGAAATCTATGTTGGTGGATTCAACTCTATACCAATATACACTGTACGTTGTGACCTTGACATATACGTCAATACGAGTGAGGCTAGTAAAGGCGTACGAGAGTATCTGGATTGAAATTGAGATAGTCAAGCCCCACAGCCAGCTGGACGAAGACTAGTGACCGTATACTAAAAAATTCTACTCCTAGCGTTTCAATGCGGGCCCGCCTGTTTAGGCACCCTGAGTGAAGCTATGCCAGAGTGATCCAGTTCACTCCCAGGTTTGGATGATTAGCACCCCTGTGCTTTCTGTAATCACTTCTAAATCCTTGTGCAAATCCATTCAGGATAGTTCTGGGAATGACAAGGCTCCTCGCAGTCGCTGGGATTCTGCCTAGCTTGGTAGTCTCCCAAAGTATCCAGCTGTTCACGCAGGAGAACTTGTCTGTTTCGCCGGAATGCAAGACTGCGTTCACGGGAAACCTCTCTTGCAGCGCGCTTGAGACTGGTGACACTATGTACCAATTCCAAAATAACATGTCCACCGCATTGCTGGATTCAATGTGTGCTGAAGGTTGCGATTCTTCCATTGATGACTACCGTCAGAGTGTGCTCCAACATTGCTCCAACGATTCAATGGAATTTGGTAGTCAAACTACCATGTATAGACCGATTGCAATCGCCGACTACTATTTCACCAATCGTGAGCAACGGTGCTTGAAGGATACGTGGGTTACCCTCATTCCAACGGAATTTCCCTTCCACTAATTTACCAAAAATAGTGATGGGAAGTATTGCTATCAGAAGATCATGTCCGAGTCAACTGGCGGACCCTGCAGTGACTGCATCTTGAAGTTGCCTCAGGTCAAACTCAGCAACCCTTTCTTCTACAACCGCGGAGAGGCATCTAGGTACGCGTCTCGCACCTCTAGCTGCAGCGTGACTTCTCTCCCCATTACAACTGCCTCTCCGGTAGTCGTCAGCAGGTATGATACACTACTCTGTTAACATGGAACTTTCATACGAGACCATGCTAACAAAATAGTACTTCCGCGGCGGCTTCGTCTGCAGTTCCTACCTGCACAGGTCGTGTGGTTCCTGTCGAATCTGGAGACCGCACTGATTCTGTGGCAAGAGCTCAAAATATTAGCACATGGCAGCTGCTGAGCCACAATGGAATACCTGGAGGCAACAAGGCGTTCAGTTCGGATGCAAAGCTTTGCATCACGGGCACATGTCAGACTCATTTGATGACTGCGAATGATACCTGTGTCAGCCTTTCTCAACGATACGGCATCTCAATCACTCAGCTCCGTACATGGAACCCGACCTTGAACGGACGTTGCAGCAACATTGATGTCCTCGAAGGCCACTATATCTGCGTTACCAATCCAGGCCTTTTCACAACGCCTCACCGCGATACCAAAGGAGGCTCTGCAACAACGGCCACGACTGCCGCTGCGGTACCCTCGGATGTCGCCCCTGGAACGAATGTCGACTGTGGAAAGTATTATGAAGTTCAGAGTAATATCCCAATGTCTCATTTTCAGCTTCAGTTTGGGATGCTGACATGCTCTAGGTGGCGATGAGTGCGCCAAGATTGCTCTGGGGAACGAGATAGCATTGAAAGACTTCATGTTTCTAAATTCTGACCTGAACGCAAATTGTACCAATTTGATACCCGGCTCGAGTTACTGTGAGTTCACAATTTCATGATGAATTCTATTTTCCTAACAATCATTACTATAGGCGTCCAGCCTGTCGGTGTTATCTCGAAGTATCCTGACTATACAACCACATCTGGGGCCTCTACCACGACGCCGCCACCAAAGATGACTGCTGCATGGACGCCGTGGGATCAGCTTCCAATTGTGACAAGCATGAGGAAGGATTTTCCCCCAGAGGAAACACAGGCTCCCCTTGCAAATGGCACAAGGAAGGACTGCGAGGAATATAAGGAAAACACGTATGGAGAGGTCGGTTGCTGGGCCCTTGATTTGCAAGCCCGTATGACGGATTTCGTGACGTGGAACCCCTCCCTCTTTTGGTGGAATTGCACCCTTAGCAACGCTACGCGTTACTGCACAATGCTTGGTGATGGCTTCAAGTACGACGAGGATGCTCACTATCATCAACATGCCCAAAGACCCGAAAACGCAGATTTCAACTCGACCGATGACTGTTGGAAATGGCACAATGTTACAAAAGGTAAACTTTTTGTTCGGAAACAACGGACGGTTGAGTTGAAGAGCTGACATAGATGTCTCAGGTGAAACTTGCCAGACCATACGAGAAGACGCCGATATTGGCATGGATGCATTCTTTGGTTGGAACGTATGTTCCCTTTTGCTCTTCTCAGTTGCTCGCTTCCCACTGACTTCCTGCTAGCCCAGCATTCGTCAGAACTGCACTGGCCTCCAAGTCTCTGTGTCATACTGCGTCTCTGGTGACGGGTTTGATGACACCGAATATGCGAGTGCGAGTGCGAGTGTCAGTCCGACGCATATTTCTACTGCCTCTCCGACACCTACTAGCACCTGCCCCGCTGGGAGTGTTACTGCGCCAGGGCAAACACAGAGTGGTATTCCATGTAAATGCAACAAATATGTAAAATCCCAGAAGGGTAAGTCATCTTTGTCGCAGATCGTGACACCTCTTATTTTATTGGCGCTGGCTGACATTCCTTCAAGGCAAGTACTGTGAGGACATGGCGGATGCAAACGATATCACCCTCAAGCAGTTCCTCAAGTGGAACCCAGCTGTGGGAGACAGCTGTAGCAACCTCTGGCCGGACTATTACTACTGTGTTGGTGTCAGCACCTAGGTTTCACCAGAATCATGTCCGACAATTTGGAGCATTGTGCTCTTCCTACTTTCGACTCAATGTCATCTGACGCAGGTTAGTATACATCGTTAGGTTTGGATGTTTAGATGTTTGGATATTTGGATATCTGGGTATTGGTTATGTTACATTTTTCAGCCAAATGGGTTCTGTGCTCATCACGCGAGACCAATGGATGCATCCTCGAACAAAGCATCCTTCTGTTTGGCCATCATCCTTCGTTCTTTCAGAAGCCTCACTCTTTGCCGCTTCGCCTCTTCCAAATCAATGGTATCATCTGCTTGTTCTCTCACCATGTCGCGTAGTTCAACAGGGAGTTTTGCCAATGCTCGCTCCATCACCTTTTGTCTCTCCTTCCACCAAGTGTCTCTCTGTGGGGGCACGTTTGCAGAAGAGATGATGCGTATGTGCGGATCTACCAAGTAGAAGACCAGCAATTTGCGGTGACCTGGCTTGGATGGGTCAACCAGGGAAAATGGAGACATGCTGCGTTGTAGTGTGTGAGGGAAAGTGATCAGACGGCCTTCGTGGGTCGAGATTTCTCCCAGTTCTTGAGTGAGGGAGGTTACGTCCCACGCATTGGTGAATCCGTAGATAGGCTCAAGCCATTCATGGTGATATTGGGGATAGTCTGTCAATCGGATTTCATTTGGAAGCGAGCGTTGGCGGAATGCGATTTTATGCTCTGTCACATTTTCACTGTCATAGCAGTACAAAGCTGTCGCACAGATATGTTCATTCTGGGGAAATTAGCTTCAGAGGTCAACCCGACCTGGAGAATAGAACTCACCAATTGCCCATCTAGGCACCACGGCTCACCCTTATAAGAAGGGATTTCAGGAGTCAACTCAATGTTGGTCATTTTGACAATCACTTGCAATCCCTGTGAGAATTCCTGGCACAGATCGACACGATCCTCATCCACTTCAGGGGGTGTGAATTCCCCAGGCTCCGGAAGTATGACGGTGCAAGCGTCCTCATGCTGGCCAACCACCTCATAATCCCCCTCGAGAAATTGAACTTCATTGCACTGGATTCTCGCCCACTTGTTTTGTACATATGTCAACGTTGAGTTCCAAAGTGGTAACGTCCGAGTCAGAACATCCTCGATGGTTTCATACAGTCCCCGGTTCTCCCAAGGGGGAAGATTGTTGATGTAAGAAGTGATGTGGCATCTTTCGTCTGCACCAAACGCCACGTCGGATGGCAGCCATTGAAATAGTCGACTGTATGGTTTCCCCTTTTTCCAACGTTCTGGCCAGGATGTATCAAATGCTTGGTCATATGCCTGTTCCTCTGGTGGGATTGGAAGAAGGACTCCTTGCCCCTTATCCAGGCAATCGTCAACGCCGATTGTCTGGTCTGGAAGAATGCGCGTACGCCCGTAGATAACAGGACATATTGAGGGATCCACAGGGTTGACGATCTTTTTCTTGCTTTCGGGTGGGCAGTTCTTGTTCCCTCCGGCTGGCTCCAGCGAGCGAGACGCCTCTTTCAAGGCCTTTGTGGTGGAGGCTGGTATCGCAGAATCCGACTTGAACACGCCTGGATCCAGGGCGAAGGTGTACCCGGTCTTCAGCAGATTTTCAGCTTTCCACTGGAGTTCCTTGATGATCCAGCTTGTCATTTTTGGGGTGACATCTTCACCGCCCGCGGTTTGTTGCAGCAGTTCCTTCAGAGCCCCATCGTCAAATATCTACCGAGAGTGAGCTCAAGTTTCTCCGTAGTCATTGAAACACCCTGGCATACCTTGGAGTGCCAGTCTGGTCTTTCCGTGAATGCATTGATGATTCGCATCATCACGATATCCCGATGTACATTGAGGCGACCGACATCCATGCCCAAGTCCTCGCACTGAAGTGCGGAAGGAAACACCCGCCGTGGAGCAAAGTTCAGGGGCAACGAAAACCCCGGAAGTCCGGGGGCTTTTTGCGAAGCCATTCCAAGGTTGGGCTGAGACTCGCACCACGTAGCTGAAATAAGGAGGGGAAAATGTCTGAAAACCAGGTGATTCAGCCCCACATAACTAACCGGACTATAATGATGTCAATGTTCCTAACATCGGACATTGTACGACATAGTTATTCGAATCCATATTACCTCCCCCTATAAAGGATTACTATTCCTTTATTTCTTTGAAGTAAGGGGTATCGTGAGGAAATTTAATCTTATAAAGCTCTTTGACTTAGTTAGAGCAATAGGCTAGTGCCCACCTAGTTCGGTGGGGTTGGTACTTAAACCAATCTAAGTATATATAGTCGGCTTCGAAGAACTTTTTAAGGGAGAAGACCTATTTCCGATATTTGTCGTTGTCTCTTACCTTGTAGATTAACGGATAAGGTGTGGCTCGCGGCTTCTTGATACCGCGACGGCGTAGTGTGAATAGGGCCTATTGGTTAGACTCCTAATCCGTCGGTTATGGCGGTCGGAAATCATGAAGCTTAAATAGCGTATCGGGGTAATTTGTCTACGTAGTGGCTTCTTCGCCGAAGGCAACCGACGGCTAGGTCACCTCTAACTAAGACGTACTTATTGGCGTCGACGCCCTTATAGATATATTGCTAGGTGCCACGAATAAGGCATTGCTAGGTATATATATCGGAGGTCGTATCTTAATAGGCTGGTTAAACTAACCCTATTCCCGTCGGAGTTATTCTATAACTCTAGCTCTCCTTAGATTATACGCTTCTCTTTCTAATTGTTCGAGCTCTCTTATCTCTTATTTGGTGATAGCACCTTAAGCCATAGGTTTAGGGGCGGTCGGCTCGGTCGGCGGGAATGGCCTAGTCGGTTCCTAGATCGATTCCATGGTTAGGGGTTCGACGGTGTAACGGCGTGGCTGATCCACGGGTTCAATTGTGCGTACTGAGTAGTATATGTATCGGTCCCAGGCATGTCAGCCTGACGGCTGACATAGTGGTCTTTTGGCCTAGTTGGTGAGACGTGTATTGACCTGGGTGCACTCCATTACAATATAATTGTAACGGAATCCTCAGAAGCCATGCACAGATCTCTCGCACTCCCAGAGGATCGACACCATATAGGTGTCGACACGTCAGCGTTGGCTCACCGTAACGCTGATCCCCCATGTTAAATAGTCTGCCCCGGAGAACCCAGCGGTTCTCCAAGAATCAGTCTCTGTATTCCTCCAATATATTGTTCGCTTCCAGGCATCTTCATCTTACCTAGTTGACAGGCTCTATCCTGTAAACACTAGAACCCTACTTCTTTACAGACGGTTCTAGTTACGTTCCTAACTAGCCTATTTAGAGGGTCTTCGCTAGACTATCTAGCTAAATGCCCTTAGGTGAAGCGCTAAGAGCGACGCGATGCCATTATCAAATAGGTGGGTTCTACCGGGCAAGCCCTAGTTAGTAGAGCGTTCAGAATTGTGAGACCACGTAGTCTCTAGGTTTATATAGGTAAGCGAGGTAGATAGCCTAGTTACGTGTCTAGTACAATATAGGTGTATTGTATAAAGAAACTAAACGCTAGCCCGTTCCACGGCCTAGCGAGAAATGCTTATATACAAACTAACCCAGTCGAGGGCGGTGAGACCCTCGCCTAGGGCATCATTTCCAATACATTCTAGGTCCTAAGGCATCTATCACTGCCTCGGGCCGTGTCAACAGCCTCAGTCAGGTAGAGGTCCTGACAAGGATACGCGTATAACTTTCCGTATATATCCCGGTTAGTTTGCCTAGCGAACTTTATTCTTATAGATTCGGAATACGTCTTATCTATTTTATTATTAGCTAGCCTATAAGCTTATACTTAAAATGAATTCGTACCTACTTGCTATAGAGCCTATCTTCGACACGCCCGAATAGTAATATTTAGCGTGTAGCCACTTCTGTGACCTAGACTAACTAAGGCCTTTCCGAAGGAATCCGCTCCCCCTAGCGTGGCCTTTGAAATTGTCTATATTATGCTTAAGATATTGGCGAAAAACCGGTAGATCTCTTATCACTTACCGTATATAAATTACCTTAAGGATCTTATCCTCTAAAGGACCGACTTACTTATATATTTCGATAGTATCTAGAATTTCGTTCACTAAACCGTAAGCTATAAAAGCCTTATCTACGGTGGCTATTAGTAAAAAGAATATTAAAAGGTTTAGAAATATAGGTATATCCTTAGCGTATACTTTATAAAATGCGTGCTTAGGAATCGCCTATTTTTTCTTTCGCTAATATCCTTTAACAAATTCGCGCTTATAGGTGAGTATAAGCATTATTATACTATCTATAGTCTCGATAGTGAGTTCGAAATACTAATATAGTTAGCTTTAAATACTACTTATTTTTCCTTTTCTAAACACACCTTATAATAGGCAGCTATCACACGGGCTTCTAAGTTAGTATCCTCGCTATCCTCCCCGATCTTCTAGGCTCTATATCTCTAAGCGGTTAATTCGTGAACCTCCCCTATATATATAGAGGTAAAGCAATATAGGAGTATTACGGCACTTAGCTAAACTCTAGCCTAATTAGTAGGGTTTCCACGATACTTATAGTGATCTCGACACTATAATTAAGTTATTAAGATAGTCAAATTATTTAGGGATATACCGCCGTCTTTATTTATTTCCTTAGTTAAGAGAGGGATTATGACCTTTAGTTCTCCCACGATATACTACCTAGTATTAGCTCTGATTTATTTAAAAAGAACGCTAGTATAGACCTTATTAATTATAGTCCTAGTGACTAGTAGGAATTCGAAGATTCTTTCTCTCTTTATACTAGTGGCGAATTACCTAAAAAATCCCTAAATTGTCTCGACTATAGGCCGTTCTTCGATCCGACTATATATTGCTCTTATAACCCACTCGAGAAAAGCCCTATATATTCTAATATCTAGTGGAACGACGGCCTATAGATATAATTTAATAAATATAGGATATAGACACAATTAAGCGATTTGCTTCTCTACTCCTAAGGCTAAGACTTACTTATCGAAAATTAGTAACTTATCCCTATAACTAGATTCTATTCGTGGTAGCACTACACGCTAGATTTTATTGTTACTATACTCCCTAAAATCTATAATATTAGCTATTGTAGTGGTGGAACCCGTGACAGTAGCGTATTCGTGGCCTGAGGTATCACAAATGCTTCAGGAAGCTTTCTTGCAGTCTTCTCCTTCGAGAGAGAGCATCCTAGCATCATCAATATAACTACTGTAGTGGGGGAATTGCTGACTGCATGAAGCCACGTGAAGTAGCGGTGTATCAGGACTATGTGACATATAAGACTTCCCTGTTCGCAAGATAGCAATTCAGACACACTTCTCTTCTTCTGCCACCTCTACGTGTTCTCCTCTCTTATATCTCCTACTACCCCTCGTGGCCAGGACCTGGTTCGCAGACAGGGAATGGTCGGGTTTCCCTTACGGGCTCCCCTCTTTAATAAGTAATTATCTGCGATGAAGGTTGCTTTGCAAAAGGTTATTTCCGGTGCAATGTAGTTGCAAATCCAAGGACCTCTTACCTGGATAAGCGACATTTTCATACACAATCACGTCTGTGTCAGCAGTACAAGCCGCAGTGATAGCAGCTCGCGCGGTTTTTAAAGAGGCCTGGCAGTCTGCCACACAAAGTTCGTCCACTTGATCTGCGTCCAAGAAAGGGTTTCTGTTTACAATTAGAACACGAGGTAACGACAGATAACTTCGAAAGAAACCTACCCAAAAGACCATATGGCCAGGGCTGGCGGGCAACCAATTTCTGTTGTGAGATGGGGTCATATGACCTCGTGCTCGGAAATTGCTACTGGTCCAAGGGCGCGTGAATTGGCGCAAACAGACCGTTGGTGTTTTTAATTATTTGAACTATCCCGAGCTTCGTCCTCATTTTGATGCAGCACGGGCTGCCTTGCAAAATGAATTTGAATATGCCGACAAATATATACCGGAGCTAAAGGGTATCCTCGCCATTTGGAAGGAGTTTGAGCCTGCTTTCTATGACCAAATCGTGAAGCATTCACAGAATTTCCTTACGACCAGAATCGGCTTGATTCACCAGAAGTTTCCTTTGGGTGGCACCTCCGGTGATATCGTCTCAAAGGTGGTCTATGAAGCAGAACAGCTGAAAAAAGCTGTCGACCAGATCGCATTCAAATTGTGAGGTCTCGGAATTAAAAAATTGGAAGTGTAGATTTTCTTGCTGTAACCGTACTTTTCATGCCCCGAAGCTATAAAACTGCCTCGAGGGCTGCACCTCTTGTCGTTTCAAGACCATTAAAAGTCAAATCGCAATAAAATTTAATTTCCTCAAATAAGGGAAGTCTCAAAAGCAGCCCCTATTAGGTCATGTGACATTAGGACAGGAAATCCTTTTCAGTGGCCGATTTTAAGTGTCCTTTTTTTTTTTTTTACAACGCTCGAGAGTGACTGATTGAACCATAACTTTTCAACCCTTTGGATCTTGACCAGGCTCCATGTCACTTCTTAGACCTTTCCTCGGTCGTATCACTGTATTGCCTCAGCGCTGTCTACCACGGAGCTCTCCAGCGAGCCTTCGGCGAATCACCAGAACTCCATATCAGCAGACGCGCAACATGTTAGACTCTTATATGCAACTCGCTGCCTCACGCTCCAACCAGCGCACCAAAAAGCAAGATATCCCCTGGGGATTCGCGATCTACCGCTGTTCTTATAAGGACGAGAGTGCCTGGAATCGTCTACTCCAACACATCGAGGAAGAGATCAAAAGCAGTCTTGAAGTCAGCGAGATAAAGCATCTTCTACCATATCATCAGCTGGTCATCAATGACGATATTTCGAAATTCAAGGGAGCTACATCCCATGAGATTCGTGACCACTTCAACGCATGGGTTCAAGAACAACTACCCCAGATCGTCGCTAGCCCCGAGCTGCTCGAAAGTCTCCGATCTGAGAGTGCTACCTCTGAGTTTGGCCCGCAGTATGGCCTTGGTGCAAGGTACAACTTTTGCCTCTTTGTGGACGATTTCTGCCTAGAGTCGTTGAAATATGTCAATAAATCGAGCTTTGATCCTGTTGTCAAGATTCTATCCGGGTTCTGCGGCGACTTGACTCCCCAGGAGAAAAACTACCAGATTCATCCTGACTGGCATGATGGAGAAACAGATGACGAATTCGAAATGGTCGGCTGGATGTATATCCCCGTGCATTCTTACGTGTGGTGGTATGATGCTATGGAAGAACCGGCGGATTGGGAACCGAATTATTCACGGCCACCCATCATGAACACCGGGTTGAGTTTCGAAAACCTAGATGAAATGCGTGCTCAAATTGCAAGTCGGTCCTGAGTACATCCACGAGCAGCTCCTGATAGCCCATAGGTGTGTCGACTGTGACAATATTCTTTTATGTTCCAATGGAAGCATCAAAATAGTTCAGTATCATAATTCTCTAAATCACATATAAAAGTCTAATTTGATTAGTAAACATCGGCGACAGCATGATTGAGAACGCTCCTACGTCCATGGAGTTAGATCGTGAAAAGCCGGATTACTATTGCTTCGACTTGGTGGATCGCAAAAGTCTCTGAATAGACCTGAGCAAGAATCTGGAGTCCAGAATCCCGGATGTAACCTGTCGAAATATGCCATTCACTTTTTAGAGCATATTAGCTCAGCATCGTATTCTTACTTGTTCGAGGTTGGGCCCCTTTGCAATGTTCCTTTATGCCCACACCCACAACTCGCAGCACGCATTCTTGCAACAAGTTGAACCAGACAGTCGGACCTGGTATTTGATACCTCATTACCTGGATACGATCATGTACTGTGGGGGTTTGCCACAAGGAGCGGCGAGATAACCGGATTTGTTCTATTAATCCACCTGTGGACTTCTCTCTTCCTTTCAAGAGGCTGAACTACAGAGATATGACCCAGAAACCTTGCTGTTCAACTAAATCTGCTTGGCTGCTCTACGGCAACATCAGCCGACCGAGATTCTATATTATTAATTTCATTGAGTTTGTTTTCTAATATTTAATCCAGTGAAGTATGGGGGTTCGGTAACCTTCCGCGACATAAGCTCTAACATGACTTACAAACCACGTTGATCTTTGTATAGATCGTGCAGAGATTGTTTCTGATCATGCGGCCATTTTCCTAATCTCGTACAGCCCTGTGTTGAAAACATTAAATTCTTAAAGACAGGGCTATGATATTTCAAGTTTTAATAGAGATAATCGTGTGGCGGGTATGCACACTTGACGGTTGAGCGCTTCGCAAGCCATACAGAAGCCGTGCCTTATGCAGAACCCTGATGCACGAAATACTCATGTCTGACGGCGATCCCTGGTCCAGAAGTCGGTGCCGTATCCTTCACTAATCCGTCCTCGGAGTCATTAAACGAGATGTCATCTACGCCGCGGTCAACTTGACTCTGTGAGGTGGAGACGGTGGTGCGCTGCTTGCTGACGCCGCCGGTATGCACGCCTGAGTGCGAGAGCTCGTAGCCGCGATGGCCGCTGTAGGTTCCCGTGCGAGATTGCGAGCCGAATACTAGGGTGCGGAGAACAGGGAGACAAGACGCGATGATGGCGATGGCGGTTTCGATCATGGAGACGGTGCAGGTGATCATTTGTTCGTTGCGGTAGGAGTAGATTGCCCGGATGACTGGGTACATGGTTTAGTGGAGATGATATGAGAGGAGGGAGGGGAGACATACTACTGGTGATGACTACAAGAATACCCAGGAGGAAGACAGAGATGACACCCCACTTTTGTTTCTTGGGCATCTTGAGTCTCGCAACTTGCGTAATTGGGAGGCAGATAACTAGTTTAGGTTAGGAGCAATTGAGACTAATTGAACTTGACGCCTTACTGAAGACATCACTGAAGATGTTGACTGTAAGAATTAGTTGATACTCCAAGTAGTTCAGGACAGAGGGCCCTACAGAGAATCGTGAGCCAATAATTGACTGTGGACGGTCCTGGGGGACATGTCACTGCAAGATCGTCAGTCCGTTTGTCTGATGAAGTTGATAATAGAAGCATCCCCACACTCAGGATTTGTGATCGCCTCCCACTGCCGCTGGACCGGATAGCACTTGAAAACAATATCAAAAAACAACACTAGCCAGGTCGCAGCCAGGAAACCAAGTGTGATGTTATACACAACCTGATACCGAGTGCGATCCGCCAGGCGCTTGTAGAAGATCACCATGCTCGACTTGATCAGCCACAGCGAAGTAACGTATAATGTGGATCCCGGGATGATCATCTGTTAGATAAGGTATAAACGATGTGATTGCATATTCTTCCAACCCCAGGCTGTTTCACCTTCATCATATTAATCTGTTCATCCACAGTTGTCTTCGCCATTTCAGACATGCCTGTGCATCGTCAGTGGAATCCTAGAAGCTTGCTCCACCAGTTCGTTTAAGGAAACACTTACCCTGATTAAACATATAATGCTGGATCACCAGGTCTCCGATTAGACACAAGGCAGCCAGAGAAACGAACAAGTCGTCGAGGTAAAGCCGTTTCAAGAGCCTCACTCGGATCACAAGGCGACAGACCAGGAAGATACATGCAGCCACTGTGCAGACATACCAGGCAACCTACACAGAGACCCTGTTAGCAAGCTAGTAGGACGAGGGTGTAGTGGGAGGATTGAAGGAAAGGCATCATACCACTTGTCCCTGATCTAGGCGTGCCATGTTGGGTTGCCTATGCTTCGGTCACGAACGGCAGAGAGAGGAAATGGCAAGGTGAGACGCGGAGCATCGAGAAATGCGCCACCTGTCGACACAGATAGTAATGATTATTTTAATTCTACAACCCTCTCACGAATTTGAGAGAATACACTGAGACACTTTTTGCTAGGCCCACTGCCAAGACCCTACCATAGATCTTCTTTTACAGTCTTTTGCCAAACAGATCACATTTAGATTGAGGTACTGTGCGATTCACCTATAACATTGATAAAATCTTTCGTGGTGAGGCTAGACCGGGTTGGTCCACAGGGTAAATGCCGATGATTACTGTATTAGAGCAGAATTTCACTTCGGCCCCAATTTAGTCCCCCACTTAGTAATATGTGATACGAAAGGAACTCTATATTAATTCTAAACTTGGGAAAATTGCCTTCCATCGGCTTTGTTCGGATAGAGATGGAGACCGTCGGCTATTTGTCTCTTTTTAGTCTCGAGTCCTGGAAATCCTGGCATGTCATGATTCCTCGGCAGTGATTGGCTTGATGTATTCGAAGCCAGTGGCCCACGACTGATCCAGATAGAGCAATTCCAGCCTCGCCACTAGGCCGAATGGGGGCGGGTGGATCAGGGGTGATGGAACCTTAAGCACAAATGACCAATGATGGCGAAGACAGTTAGCCCTCCGGTCTAGCTGCGTTCGGACAAACTGACTGGGTAAACCTCGGAGAGTCTAATTTGTGGCTGCGTCCTAATGCGGCCTTAAGCTCACTCTGTAGGCATGAGCTAATATATGACTTGTATATTAAGTACTCAACTAACAGAAGGAAACAAGGCAGTAGGACGGGCAGTGAGATAGGGAAAATGGCTGTTGCTACTGCTGTAGGGCTCATTAGTGCTCCCCACTGGGCCCATGCAGTTGCTATCTACTACTGCCAAGATGTTCTCGAACCGCGGTACCTGCATTAGGGTCATTCTGTGATCGGTGAAATGATTTATATTATAAATAATTTTAATTCTAATTTTCTATTAAACAGAAAAAGAACGGAATATGTCTCAGGCACTCTCGGCCAGCAAAGCAGTGTTCCACACCACAGGGTAGTTGGGATAGTTGGGCTTGTAGACCTTCTGGCAGCGACCGTTGTACGCGCCAGTCGTGCTCGTCACGATCTCCTCCTCGTGTCCGGGCACACCCACGCGCCCCAGGGGACCATCAACAGGCTTGGCTTGCTTCCAGCCAGGCCCAGCGCTGGGGTTCTTGATCCACGCGACAAACCCAGAGTTTATGTAGTCCGCCAGCTGTTGCTCCGCGTCGGTCACACCGTCCAGCAGGGAGAAACATTCATTGCCGCCGTGGAAAAAGGGCACCTCGCTGCCATGCGAAGGTCCGAGATTGGGGATCGGCAGCACGTTCGAGTAATCGCCGAACCAGCGGTAGATCCAAGTTGGTTGCTCGGCAGCACGCAAGTCCAGCAGGTAGTCGGTTGCACAAAGGAAGCGCGCGTCGCCGTAAGAGGCACCACTCATCTGGGAAATAGAGGAGTAGTCGGCCTCGTTGTAGGCAGCCAGGAGCTCGTCTGCGGGCACGAAGGTAAGGTCGGCGTCAAAAGTGCGGATCCAGGACGAAAAGTTAGTGTTCTCGCTGCTGTAGACGTAGCCGAAAATTTGGCCCTCCTGGTCGGAGTTGCCGACGATCAGCGGCAGTGATTTAGGGTAATAACCCTTGGCGAAGCGGTCGGTGTAGTTGGAGAAGCGGGTGATCTCGTCCACCACTGGTGCGAACCAGGTGTTCAAGGTTGAGTTGAAGTCGCTCGTCTGGAAGGCGTAAATATCTGCTGCGCGCAGGCAGTCCAAAGTGTAGTCATCAGCCGTGCAGCCCAGAGTCACGCCAGCATCCAACATTGTCTGGACCACCTGCTTCATCGCGACTCCTGCGGCCGCGTAGCCAGGACCCGATTGGGCGTTGGCAGACATCTCGATCGCACCGGCCAGGAAGGTATCCGGGTGGTTCCAGAGATAGTGATCAACGTGCACTCCACCGGATGAATGACCACCCAGCACGATGCGTGACTTGTCACCTCCGAAAGCTGGCGACGAGGTTAGGCAAAGGTGGTAAGGTTGTTTAAGAGAAAGAAGAACTTACCCTCAATATTGTTGTGAATCCACTCCATGGCCAACTCCACGTCCATGATTCCAAAATTCTGGGACTGTCCCTGCAGCTCGGGCGCATTGGGCGAGGCATAGATGCTCTCGCGGTAATTGAAGTTGACGTAGATAACATCCTTGCGAGCGAAGTTGGACCCTTGCCATTGGGCGTTGCTGCTGCCGCCGGTGACCATGGCACCACCATAAATATAGACAAATACAGGAAGTTTGGCACCCTTTTGCGGGGTCCAAATGTTGAGGCTGAGACAATCTTCGCTCTGGTCGGTGATTGCCGTGCCCGACATTACCTGGGCACAGGATGGCCCATAGGCAGTGGCCTCGAAGCCACCGTTGGGGAACGAGCCGATGGGCTTAGGTGCCTTCCAGCGGTTCTCACCAGCAGTGGTCTCGGCAAAGGGAATGCCTAGAAAGACGTTGGTGTCATTTTGTGAGAAGCCCTTGACGACCCCCTGCTCGACGGTGACGCTGGGAGAA